GCCGCACTGCCAGCTGTACGTTTCAACCACACACACCTCTACACAGCACACACATCGAAGCGCCGATTATTCCCCCTATTACCTCCGTTGTGTGAAAGAAATGTGTCACAAAGGCGCATGAATGTGTGTGTGCTCTGCTCAGCTCTGCTGTGTGTGTGTATGTTTCGGGTGTTTTGTATGTGTCCAACACGAGACGGGCATTTGTTTTCAAATTACGCATGAACCAGTAACTTCTACACACATCTGGGCCCAACTCCATAGGTAGTGGCTGGTTCCAAAGAAGGTTAGTTAATCTTAATCTGCGATGTAGGCGTGCGTAATGCTGTCCCGGAGGTGCACCCGGGAAAACGAACGCCCCCGGTAGTGACGTTTATTATTGTGGCAAACAAGCGCCCAGGAGGTCTTCACTGACCGATTATTCAGTTATCATCAATATCTGTACAGTGGGTCCTGAATTTGTTTTAATTGTATCCTGGTCTTTAGAACTGGGTGTTCCAGTATGTTTTGGTGCATATTCGTTTATATTGATGTGTTCAGGCTGTTACATACAATTACACTGTTGCCACCTATGATTAAGTATATTATATTATACTTGATATATTACTAGGTTACTATTTGTCAAAGGGATGTCCTAATGCTTTTGTTTGTACATTGGTATCCTGGTCTTTGAAAACGTTAATTATGTTTGTGGAGTGCATATTGGTATTCTCTTCAGGCTGTTAAATACAATTAGCCTCTGTTGCCACCTGCGGTGAGCTAAACTATTCCAACGTCAGTTCCAAATTGACAACCTGCCTCCGCGAATTCTTTTTAATGTATCTGCCGGTCCCTTGGCACAATGAGAAGTCCACACCCCCTGCTCTCAGAGCAGTGATGTTTTCTGGGGCTGGTCCCCGCTGGGGTCAACACCGGACTTTCAACTCCCTCCAAAGATTTCTATGGGGTGTGGAGATCTGGAGACCTGGCTAAGGCCACTCCCAAGACCGCTTGAAGATGCTTCTTACCGCCAAGCCCACTCCTGCGTCGTTGCCCGGGCGGTGTGTTTGGCGATCATTGTCCATGCTGAAAGACCCAGCCACGTTTCATCTTCACATGTCTAAGACATGTGGAGGTATCCAACTCATCACGATACATACCCCGTTCCGATTCTTTTTTACCATTCGAGGTACGTGCCTGGTCCACTTTTAGGGAGCAACAGCCCAAGAGCAATAGATTGGATTTCCAACCCCACATGTTTCACAGATAGGTACTGGTGTTCTTTGGATGCAACTCAGAATTCTTTCCCCTCCAAAACACGTCTATCGTGAGTTTTTTATCAAAAAGTTACATATTATTTGGTTTCACATAGCCAGATTGAGGCATTCTCCCAATCCTCTTCCTGGATCATCCTAAATGACTCTCTAGCAAACTTCAGACGGGCCTGGACATGTACTAGGCTTTAAGCAGGGGGACACGTCCTGCCACTGCAAGGATCTTGAGTCCCTGGCGGGCGTAGTGTGTTACCTGATGGTAAAACAAAAGCCTTTGTTACTATTGGTCCCAGCTCCTCTGCAGGTCATGTGAATAGTCCCCCCGTGTGGTTCTAGGATTTTTTGCTCACCCGTTCTTTGATCATTTTGACCCACGGTGAGATCTTGCGTGGAGCCCCAGATCGACGGGAGATTATCAGCATGGTCTTGTATGTCCTTACCATTTTGCTAATAATTGCTCCCACAGTTGATTTCTTCCACACCGAAGCGCTGCTTTACCTAATTGCAGATTCAGTCCTTCCCAGCCTGGTGCAGGTATACAATATCTGTTTCCTGGTGTCCTTTGACAGCTCGTTTTGGTCTTGGCCATAGTGGGAGTTTGCGAGGTGGACTCGTTTGAGGGTTGTGGACAGGTGTGCTTTTAATCTGATACGAGTTCAAACAGCGTGCCATTAATACATTCTAACAAGTGAGGAACAGAGGAGGCTCTTAAAGAAGAAGTTACCAGGTCTGTGGAGAAGCCAGAAATTCTTTGTTTGTTTGTAGGTATTTTACCGAGGAATTTACCAATTAATTCACTAAAAATCCTACAATGTGATATCCTGGATTCTTTCCCCCCATTCTGTCTCTCATAGCCAAAACATTTCAAGTGCTACTCAACTGGCTTTAGATAAGCCAGTCCTTTATTAGTATATAAGTGCTTTGTTAGTAATTCCTTGTTAGTAATTCTATTGCTCGAAGTGGAGTCGAAAGAGATGAGTTTTCAGTCTCCCCCGGAAGATGTGTAAGCTTTCTGCTGTCCTGATTTCAATGGGGAGCTCATTCCACCATTTTGGAGCCAGGATAGCAAACCCATACGTTTTTGCTGATGGGAACTTGGGTCCCCCTCGCAGTGCGGGTGCAGCGAGCTGTTTGGCCGATGCAGAGCGGAGTGCACGTGCTGGGGTGTACGGTTTAACCATGTCCTGGATGTAGGAAGGGCCAGATCCATTCGCAGCATGGTACGCAAGTACCATTGTCTTGAAGTGGATTCTAGCAGTTACTGGAAGCCAGTGAAGGGAGCGGAGGAGCGGCGGCGTCGGATGGCACATGCAGGTAGACCAGCCAGGAGGGAGTTGCAGTAGTCTAGGTGTGAGATGACGAGAGCCTGGACCAGAAGTTGCGTGGTTTTCTGGGTCAGGTGGGGACGTATCCTCCTGATGTTGTAAAGAGTGTATCTGCAGCAGCGGGTTGTGGCAGCGATGTTTGCAGTGAAGGAAAGTTTGTTATCTAGGGTCACCCCCAGATTATTTAATTGTCCTTGTCAAATAGACAAATTATCGAAGTGAATAAACAGCTAAACAAATTGTATATCAGTACTAGGTGTATTGATGCTAATTTTCCTAAAAATGGAAATTTAATAATTGCTTTATTATGTTGCTTATATTATCCCAATATATTCCAATTAATGAATGCTTTATTATTATATGGCCTTTTTTTTCTTCTTCAGATTCTTGCCAATACCCCGGCCTTGCATCTACCAATTTCACAGGAGAAGCTAAATGCTTTAACCATTTAAAAAAAAAAGCTTTTTCAACCATTTGCCATCACATTTGCCACATTTAATAACCTATATATAACTATTTTTACAGTACTGTATATATCATATGTTTCTTGTTAAACCTGGTAGCCTCTTAATAGTTTTCACATACTCTGATTTGAAACATGTGGAATTCAGATGTTCAGAAACTAACAATCTTTCCTCCTCTTCTCTGTGCTGACTAACGAAAGGCAGGCACAGCTGGTTGAAAAAGCACTAGTTTAGCATTACTATGTCTGTAATAATGATTTCCTTTGGATTTTCTATGACCTTATGCTTTAAGTTGATAATACTTTATCAATTCCTACATATGACTCACATCTCCTTTTTTAAATATTTTTTTTAGGAACGTGGAACGGTACAACACGGGTGGCAATAAAAACCCTGAAGACCGGCACCATGTCCCCCGAGGCCTTCCTGATGGAAGCTCAGGTCATGAAGAAACTGAGACATGAAAAGCTGGTCCAGCTCTACGCCGTGGTGTCGGAGGAGCCCATCTACATCGTCACGGAGTACATGGGACAAGGTCGGCAAGGACTTTCACATACATTATATATAAATACATTTATAACACTTTTTTACAGAAGAATAACTCAGGAAACCAGTAATGTTCTTCATTATGTTTTTAAAAAAATGTAAAGAATAAAGGATATGCACAATAGCCAATAGCTAAGGCAACACATTATACCTAAGACATTAAAAAAAGGAGTCAAATAGTGCAAGAGATATAATTTCTGCAAATACTGCAAACTGCAGGAATACACAAAAAAAGGGAATATGATAAAAATAATGTAAATGAAGTACTGTGAATGACAATAAATAATGTTAGTGTTTACACTCTAATAATTTAGCCTAATAACTAGTAGCCACATATTTATGTGGCTACTGTATATGGAATAAACAGTAAATAGTTGTAGCTTAGTTTTTAAACTGTAGGCCTATGAGTAAATGTGTACTTGGTTTGTTTACATTAGGAGCCAATAAAAGCCAGGTCAAACCATGATGCATTTACTGCCTGCAAAACAAATGTATTATCATTTAAAAAAAAACATTAAATACATTTTATTACATACAAAAATACAATTAATGACGACAACAGCTCCAGCAGTGTTATGCTAACCTGCAGTATGTGTCTGCTAACAGGTAGCTTACTGGATTTCCTGAAAGGCGACATGGGTAAAATGCTCCGCCTCCCTCAGCTGGTGGACATGGCCTCACAGGTCAGCACGTTCATGTTCTGCAGCATGACCTAAATCACTTCAAAATTGTAATTCTGGTGTTTTCCTTCAGTTTAGACAATCACAAAGCTTTGTCTGTTTCTCAGATTGCTTCGGGGATGGCGTATGTTGAGCGGATGAACTATGTGCACAGAGACCTGAGAGCTGCTAACATCCTGGTGGGAGATAACCTGGTTTGCAAAGTGGCTGATTTTGGTCTGGCTCGCCTCATTGAGGATAATGAATATACTGCTAGGCAAGGTAAGACCAATGTACAATGGTGTAGAGTTTAAGCATTTGTTTTTCTGTACACTAATTCTCAATGCAGCACACTGGTTTCCAATCTTGTATACAGCTTCTGACCTCTTAAAGTGAAGAAGTATGTATTTGGTACCACACGTGTTATGGTGGTGTGTGTTAGGGCTGCTCGATTATGGCAAAAATCATAATCTCGATTATTTCGGTCAATAATTGTAATTGCGATTATTAAATGCGATTATTCATTGACTTTGAAAACATCAATTTATTGGAGAGAAACAATTTTAAGTATGTTTTTAACAGTTGATTACCCTGAACTTTAAGTATAATTAAACTGAAAAACCAACAAAAAAAAGATTAATAAAAAAATAATTGTTTTATTTCGATTACGTTGTTTTCCTAATCGTTGCAAGCCATAATCGTAATCGCGATTAATACGATTAATTGAGCAGCCCTAGTGTGTATTGAGTTATAAGCAATTCAACCAAAAAGATTGTTGTGCCTTTGTTTTGATCTGTGCTGCAATGATTTACTTTTAACTTTCTTACCTGTCGTCCTGCAGGAGCCAAGTTTCCCATCAAGTGGACGGCTCCTGAGGCGGCTCTGTACGGCCGCTTCACCATTAAATCTGACGTGTGGTCCTTCGGGGTCCTGCTGACTGAACTGGCCACCAAAGGACGAGTGCCCTATCCAGGCAAGAACCATTTTCATTTTGACAATTATGTTAAAACTAAATAACACACTTTTTTTAGTCCACTTTTTAGTCCACCTTACAGGTTTCTACCAAGTACAAAAGTGTTTATTTCCTAATGCATCGCGCCACAGGCTATCTGAGTCAGAAGTACATTAGTCGCTTATAAAGAAGCTTTATGCAACAGGTAAATGTGGGTTATGGCAGGCTATATTTTAGACAAATTAGACTATTCTTATGCAACTGGCCCTTGAAGTGAGTTGCTGACTTCATGCTCCACTAATCCAACAGCCACATGATTTATGACTGGCAGTCTGTTAGTCATAAGGCATTATATAATTCAAATTGCTTTTATCATACCTTTGCTCTGCCAGGTATGGTGAACCGGGAAGTGTTGGACCAGGTGGAGCGCGGATACAGGATGCCGTGCCCAGCAGAGTGCCCTGAATCCATGCATGATCTGATGCTGACCTGCTGGAGGAAAGAGCCCGAGGAGAGGCCCACCTTCGAGTACCTGCAGGGCTTCCTGGAGGATTACTTCACCTCCACAGAGCCTCAGTACCAGCCAGGAGAGAACCTGTAACTGGGCTGAACGTGGAAATGTGCATGTGTCACGCATGTGCAAACTGAGCATGTGCATCTATCTACTTCAGAGTGCATGGACAAGTATGTGTGAGGGGATGTATGTACAGAAGAACGGGGCAGAAAGCCGGCTGCAATCTGGGTCCAAAGGGTAAACATCAAGGAGTATCAGTGGGGCAACTAACTCATCAGCAACATTTAGTTCCTGCCTCTTTTCCAAAGTCAGCTCCAACATGCCAGCTGTCAAAAGACTCACCTGTGGTATTATTCGTGCATTTTTCATACAGTACTATGTAATTTTGTCCGTCAGTCAAATCACCAACATACTATACACGCCAAGCAGGTTCTTCTACCTTCCTTGTGTTTCTAAGGAGCCATGGAGATGTACATTCCCTATGCGCTGTCAGCTTCAACACTGCAGGTGGCACCAGACAATGACATAAAAGACTGCATAGGGGTTAACCATGGGGGGTCCAGAGAATGAATGTTGGATCCAAGTGTTGCCCCGCTAAAAGCACCACTTCAGGATGTCTATTTTTACCCCATTTTCTTTGGGACACTATTCAAAATGTGTATGGTCAGTCTGTCTTCCATTTTGCCACTTGAGAAGCAACTATTTTGGTATGTACAATAACGTCCCAGGATATAGTGGGTTTTATTTCCTTATTAGACCTGGATCGACTGGAATATATTCAGGTGAACATTGTTATTTTGTAATCATGCTTCCCCTGTGCTTCATTTCGGCTGGTTTCCAAACTGCTGTGAGATGTAATAAGAGACTAACACCCTTGATTCTCATAAGAGTGTGTAGTCTCACTCGCCAATTGGACGATTTGGTTTATCGCTGTGACCAATATACAGCTCAACTCAAAGAAGAGACGAGGCAGGAGTCTGTCCCTCTATTTTCTAATTGTGACTTTTCTTACAAACAAATGGCTACTGATCACTATTGGTCATCTCAGGATGGAGAAGACTACAATTCTGCTGCAAGGATTTTTGTGCCAATGAAAATCTCTTTTGTACTCTCTTATACTGTGTAAAAGTGTATTTTACTACTCTGCTTTTCTTACTATGAAGTTTGACTTGTTGTAAGCATTTCCTAAAGGATAATCCACTGTTTTGAGATTCTACACCTGTGTACAGTACCGACCGGCTCATCAGCATGGTTTCAAGGCGCTGATTTGTTTTCAAGCATTCAAATTAAAAATCAGGTGAATCCTACTGTCTCCTTTCAGGTTTGACCTTCATTTATATGAAGAGTTCTTCAATCAGCCAGTATTTCCCTAACTAGTGCATCTTTGTGCGCCATCGTACACTGGAGATTTTATTTGTTTTCTTTAACACATGAGACAAACAGTGATATTACTCTGAGTGTTGTTATGCCTTCTTCCAGCCTGTAGGAGGCAGACCAGGAAGCCCTAGCATGTATAGCAAATAAATTGGCATCGGGAAACTAAATTGTAAATATCCTCAATGCTAATATTTTTGTACATATACATCATCTTTATAATTTATTCCTTTTAAAATAACCCATTGGATTTTGGCATCATTCTTTGAAACGTTAATGTGTATGGTACTTTTATGGGTTAAATAACGCCAATAACAATATAAATATATATTATACAAACACTTTTTGTGCACGTATTTCTGTGAAACTTATCTTGGTTGAACATTTTCAATATGACTTGAATTGGTGAGGAGAACTGCTCTGTATCCCCTGACTCACAACATTGATTACTTGCCAGAAACGGATCATCCACCAGCATGATTCCCATAAAAAAATCACAACCACAAATGATTACATCTTGATAATCTCTGAATCATCATGGTGACTGGTAAATGAGCAGGTTTCATTATGGTTTAACATTCTGTTTCTCTGGGGACATCTGATGAATAGTTTGTGTTTGTGTTGCAATCTTTGGCACCTCCACACTTTTTTTAATGGACATGTAAAGCTTGTTGTTCATAAAGCACTACACTCTATCATTAATGACTCCATACAGAAGATGATGTGACTGCCACGGATGAAGGGAGTTTGATTTCTGTGCTGCGTCTACTGTGTCCTGTGGACATGGGGTTGTGCCACAATGAATGCATTGACCTGCTTGGGCGTAGTCAGGCTGGCATCGTGCCCTTCTTTTCCTGACCTGCCCCTCTCACCGAATGCTTATATGAGCAAAGTGCACGGAAAAAAAGATCATATTGTATGTATGTTGCAGCCTTGCTTAAAGTTAAGGGCATTTCCTGTTGGGTATACTGTGGGTCTTCTTTCTGGCTATGCAGATATTTTTTTTTAATTCTCTGATATTCCTACATTTACTCTTTTCTATTGTATCTTATGGGAATGTTCAGATAAATAGCTCTTTGTTAAATCCTACTGATAATTGTTCAAATTTGAAATTACATTTGAATAAAATTTGTATATTGCCAACTGTATCCTTCGTGTTTATCAACTGAATGAATGTGGTTCCTAAAATCAGGACGATATTGCTGAAATTATGTTTGAAATGAGTCAAGTCGATGATCAAAGGTTCATACAGCTGCAGAATAATATTGTAAACTATCTAATCCACAATGATCATTAGTAATGATCATTTGTGGAAAGTGAGCTTGCTATTATCAAAGCATGATTAGATCCAAGTATACGTTAATGTTAATGGTTTAATACTGATTTGAAAATAATCAAATAAATATTTATGTTATGTTTTTGTATATCAATTTGGTAGTTTTTCTTGACTTCTGATTCTGAAAATACACTAAACAGGGAATAAAAAAAGGAACATTATTATTGTTGTTGTTAGAATTTTAGATCTGAAGATACCAGAGCCCTCATGTATCAGTGATTCCTACATATCCTCAGGCTAATCATATCAGCTAACCCCACCCGGTGGTCACGTGCCGCCGGTGCTCGCGCGCTGTGTGTAGAATTACCAGAAAGTCCCGGAAGAGGCTCCTCGTGCAGAATAGAGCGAGGTGCAGGTGAGCTCTCCCGCACCATGTACCTGTAAACAAAGAGAAACAACATGGAAACAATAGCCAGGATACAGTTGAATGGAAACCGGGATCAAACACGACTTCGTAGCAGGTAAAGGACGCATTTTACTCCTCGAAACGGTCCATGTTTAACTATTGAGGACTGAGGAGTACATATTGTGTTGCTTGTTTTTCCATTGTAAGGAAGGCGGGTTTTTTTTTTTTTTCGTGAGTTGTCTTAAAAGTTTGCCATACGGTTTTGTAGCATTACACAAGGCTGGGGCTTTCTCTTTAACTAAGGTGAATGATTTAACAATGATAATTCTCGTTTTATAATTGCTATTTTTATTTTGCCCTGTTTTCACTGATTCTTTAACTTCAATCAGTTTATTCTCCCAATGTAGGTCAGTACCGTTTTTATTACATATAGTTAAACCAAGTTTGCTGGGGAAATTATTTGCTTCTGCCCAGTAAACTCCCACTGTAACATATGTCTTCATGTATGAATACATTTGTTGGTATTACAGCTCTATGTAAGCCATATTTTCTGTCCACATATGTCGGCTCTGTTGGCTTTCTGCTGTATCTGGCTGCTAGCTCTTGGTAACATGTTGTGACTGCAACCTGCTTAAGTACCACGCCTTCCTGTTCATTTGCCAGCTTCCTATCTTTGTGTGGTTTTATATCATTGCAAAGGGTAGGTTTTAATGTCTCACCGCAACCCGGTTGAAGCCAGATTTAAAAGCAGGAAATCCGAATTGTATTTCTTCCCCTGCTCCTTTATACCCCTCTCATTCGGTTTGTTCTCTTTCTATGTCTGTCTCCAAAACCTGCCAGGCTGCAGATCGGTGTGTGATCCAACATCCTGATACACACAGCGTAACCAGACACACGGCACAGAGCTTACCCATGAGATAAGGTGGGTCAATCCGATCTAATCAACTGGCACTGGGGAAAGTGTGTGTGTGTGTGTGTGTGTGTGTGTGTGTGTGTGTGTGTGTGTGTGTGTGTGTGTGTGTGTGTGTGTGTGTGTGTGTGTCACAGATTACTCAGCAGTGTCTCAAAATGGTGATTTATAACCACAGAGAACTTTTATGTTTGTGCTATATTTTCTGTTTTCACCTGTTCTGGAGCATCAGAGTAAAAATACAGCAGCCTCCTTGAGAATTAGATAAAAGACGATCTTCCAAGTTATTTTTAGGTTTGACAGTTTGTCTCGTCTTCACAGGCCCTTTTTATTCTTACAAAATGTTCTCTTATTGTCAGAACACTGGCTCCATTTACAGCGTGTGAGCAGACTTTCACCTTGGTGCAATCTGGATTAATACATTTAGGTTAAACGTTTCTATTCAAGGGCATCAGAACTAAAATATCCTTCAAAAGTCTAACATTTGAAACACCTCTGGATGCTCATGAACAATTTTAATGATGTTCACCTAAACTGTGCTTTCATGTTCCAGCCTCTGTGTCGGGATCATTTGTGCCCTTAAGGACTCTCAAGCATTGTTTGCCTTGTTTGCGTTTACTGCAGGTAGTAACTTTTGTTTGAGTAATTGGAACCATGTGCAATACAGGCAGTAATGCAATACCTTTTAAGACCGAGAAGAGCTTTAGCTGGCTTTAGTAATCGTTGTTTGCATTAGAGTATCATTATGCTCTGTCTCAGTGAATATCTACACGAAACAATGGTTACGGAAGGATGTTGTTCCTAATAGAAGCTGAAATGCATTTTTCTTCAGGTCCACAAGCACACACACGCAGCAGCAGCAGCAGCTGTAATTATAGAGTGTGTGTCCCAGGTGGAGGCCAGAGGCTGCACATTCAGCAGCAGAGGGGGAGTTGTTGTGAGAGAAATGTCAGGAAATGATGCATGCAGCGTGACAGTTGGTTACCGGAATTGTCACCCACAACTTATATACGCATATTGTACTGTTTGCATGTTTTGCAATTCATTTCAATACATTGCTGCAAGAAAAGTGTTAGAATGGTGCTACATGCGGTGCTCTTATTATTTCAGGGTGAAATTTACGTAAAAGATTAACTGAAAATAACCCACCTTAGGTCAATGTTAACAGATTGTGTGTAAGAGCTCATTGTTTCAATAGAAAGGTGATTACTGGAAAACATTCACGCTATATTTGTTTCGTCTTTTTAATTGTGTAGACATTGTCTTTAAAGCGACTTTACTTACTAAATTGTGTTGTTCCAACTTAAGTAAGGATGAAGTGTATTTCTATTCATTCTACATTTCAGTGTAGAGCCACGTCAGTTAGACGGGAAACTTATCTGCAGCTATTAATACATGAATGGTTGTTTCCTGTCTCTCAAATGGGATACTTCACTGCCTGACCTTTTCTTACATTTAACTGGCTTTGGACTTTAGCTTGTGTAAAGCAAGGTATCTGAACGTCATGTTGGCTGTTATTAATTATGATAAGTGTTTTTCTTAGTTTTGATAGAACAAACCATTAATCAAATAAGGGAGACAATAATCTGCAGATGAATCTATGAAAGATATCCTCAGCTGCAGCTCTACTACTTGTTTTAGTTTTCAGTCAAATAATAAATTCATGGTGCTTCATTACTCTGAACTGCATGCATTTTTCAGCGGTGTGATACATATCAATGAGTCATTAAATCCAACTTTATTTATATAGCACTTAAGCATAATGAAAGGTGCTTCACAGACAAAACAATACATATAAAGACTAACCCATTAGTTCATGAAAGAGCAACACTTTTCAGTCATGCAAAGCACTTAATAACCACTTAACTTAATATAAACAGACGTAAATATAATTAAAAAAGCTGTGCCTTAAGGCTCTGACTGGTCTCTTAAAGCTATTCTGCCAATGCAAGACATTCTCATTAATAGTAGCTTTTATTTAAATCATATCACATAGAGTTGTTCTTAATGTTTGGTTGAATAGTTACATCCCCATTTAGTTTTTAGCCGTATGTTTCTATTGAACTGTGTGTTTGTGGGCACTGACTGACTAACTAAGTAAATGACAGGCGCCCCTGCTGAGGCTGTGTGAGGATGACACAGCAGCTGTGGGAGGGCTGTTCAGTTAAGAGCTGTAAAAAAGGCAAAGATACCACAAAAACCACATTGAGGAAGTTAGTAGTGACTCATCTGTCCGTGTGGCAAACAAGTCCGACACATTTAGACATCTGGACTATAATTAGGGACAGGAGCTTTACCAAAGAAGGTAATGTTAACAACAAGGACTTTGTAACCCTTTGATCATTAACACTAATCTGATCACAATTATTTCCAGGTAGGAAGTTCTTAAAAACCTGATTGAACCTCCTCGTTTACAGAAGGCACCAGAAGGACTGAACAGTCGTCGTCCTCCACGATGGCGAACCAGGACGCCGGCAACCCTTCACACGCCTCGTTTGAGAACTTCGTCCTAGCCCAGACTTGTAAGGATGTGAAGCATCACTTCGCTGTGCTCTGCAAGCAGCTGAATCTCAATCCTAAGGAGTTTGGGAGTTTCTACATCAGGTTAAAAGAAAAGCTAAACTACTGGAAGGCCAAAGCCCTGTGGAAGAGGCTGGACCAAAGAGCCGCTCACACGGATTACCAGCAAGGACAAGTGTGCACCAAAAACAAGGTAGGGGGAACCAGTGAATAATCGTTCTCTTTAGATTATATAGATATTCATTTTTGTTTCCATCATGACTAGAAATAAAGAAATGTTCCTTCCTATTTTCTTCTATTTTCATTTTGTGGTTTTTTTCGTTCAGTTTTGAAAATGATAGTTTCATTTGTTCATGATGAAAATGTACTTCATCATTTGACCCATACTGAACAGGGTCAGCGGGGACCCATGATCAGGGCTGTCCACATTTCAACAAGTACAATGGAATATGGCCCGAAAATGAAACTTGTGCTTTTCTAATATTGTATTTCTTAAATATGTATGGTAACATATATTACACGGTAGTATTCATGTGTTAATAAGCCAAATTAATTCAGTCAATTCAAGTTTAAAACATTTTCAAACATATTTTTGTTGATAAAAAAAAAAAAAGAAAAAAAAAAGACTTATTTCAAGCTATAAATACACCCTTCATATTTCCCCTTGTTATAAGCAATCTGAGGCTTCTGTTTCAAGGAGTGAGCTTCCAACAATATAAATGAAACCCTATGGAGACCTGTATCCATATGTATGAGTATCAAGCACAATTGACTTGCATTTGATTGATTTTGATAATTTAAAACTTAACTTTTGAGGCAATATACCATGTACCTTTGTATATTTTTCTGTATGTGGCGCTCAGTGAAAAGAGTTTGGACACACCCCTGATGTACATGCTGATTCTGGAGAGGGGGAAAAGGAACAATAAAAGAATACAAAAATGCATAACTGAAAACCGCCATTTTACTTTTGTAATACTTGATTAGGATTGGATCATCTATGAGTCATTGTCCATTCATCCTCTTATCATGCTAAACTTTTGGCCCTTACTGATGATTAGATTAAGACCGACCTTGTTCTTTCCCGTTGGATTAATATAATGACACACTTTTAAGAAACTCTGAAAAACAAGGCTGCAAATGAAAAAATGAAAACTTGAGTAGAAAATAAAATAGATATAGCCTTAAAACATTGTGCAAGCCTTCAAACCTTGTTTTTAGATGTCATGCTTTGAAACACTATTCTATATCCATGCCATCATTTCCAGCAATTTCAAGGTTGTACTGATCGGCTCATTTAATAATAATAATAATATATTTCATTTATATAGCACACTTGAAAAACAATGTCATCTCAAGGTGCTTCACAATGCTATAAGGAGAAAATAATAAAACAAATACAAAGTTATCTAAGGAGCATATAGAATCAAATATGGTAATTTAAAGAAATGATAAAGGTTGGAATAAAAAATAAAATAAAGGACAGTCAGTAAAATGTGGTGCGGAACAGGTGGGTCTTTAAATTTAGAGTAATGCATGCTTTGTTTTGTCGTGATGCCAACCCAAACAACGTTTCCTCATGTTCTGATTGCCATCTTATCTGCCCTGTCTGTCTGTTTGTCTCTCTCTCAGTGTCTGGTGCTGGGGGCGGGGCCATGTGGGCTGCGGACGGCCATCGAGCTGGCGCTGCTGGGGGCTCAGGTGCTGGTGCTGGAGAAGAGAGAGTCTTTCTCCAGGAACAATGTCCTCCACCTGTGGCCCTACACCATCTGCGACCTGCGCAGCCTCGGAGCCAAGAAGTTCTACGGAAGATTCTGCACGGGGTCTCTGGATCACATCAGTGAGTGACTAATGGTGGTCCTGTAGAGCGCACTAACCACAGTCACCCCCGCCGGCCACCAGTTGATGGTCACTGATGTATGGCATGTAAATAGTTTGGGAGTTTTTAAATGGATTGAATAACCTTATTGCATCAACGGGGCAATAACAAGGCCATACTTTACTACTATGCTTTTCAAAGTGTTGGAATAGGTTCCCTAAAATGTGATAAATATAAAGTGGAACTTCCCCAATTGTGCTCATCAAAGTGGGAACAAAGTTGTAGGATTGTCAAACAATGTCAATTCCTGAAAAGGCCAGAATGAACTCTGTTAATTGATGTATTAATAATATGATAATTGATCAGCTACAGTGTAGTTTTGACAATGATAATCTTAAGTCCCAAGCTCCTCCAACAATGCAACATACATGAGACATAAACAATCAAAAATAGTGCAAAAAAAGAACATAAAAAACACCAACATGAAACAATGGCAATGCAGTGTTGGAGAGGAGCTCGAGACACGGCAGCAGAACAGGAATGCCGTAACTGTGACAACGGTTTCAAATCAGCATCTGTTAGACAAAAAATGTAAATGAATAACTCAAATAAAACTCCAAACATCTTTCATTGTGTTACTTTGGGGATTTGGGCCTACATTGGCCATGAACTTCCTGTTTGCATCACTGACTGTATTTGGTACCTTGAATACCTCAAATAACATCGTGTGTTTTCAGGCATCCGTCAGCTGCAGTTGATCCTGCTGAAGGTGTCCCTTCTCCTCGGGGTGGAGGTGCACACAGGAGTGGAGTTTCAGGGCTTGGTTGAGCCCTCAGGAGAAAACGGTACAAACATCTGTCAAACCAGCAATCTCTTCCCTCGCCCTCTCTTTCATCAGTTGTTGTTATTATGAACCAGCAGAATGTAAAGCATGTGTTTCTGCAGGTTGGATGGCCAAGCTGCAGCCTGGTTCTCACCCTGCTTCCACCTTCGAGTTTGACGTTTTTATTTCCGCTGGAGGAGGCAGGTTTGTCCCTGATGGTGAGACGAACACTGTGAACCACTTCTATTCTTACCGTTGCACTTGAAGACACAAAGATCTGCATTTAGATATTGTGCAAGAGCTGACGGTTAAACACAGTCACCAACTTCCTCAAGTAGTGATACACAGATAACACGATGTCTCAGCCCCTATTGTTTTCTTCCCCCACTCTCTCAGGTTTCAGGCATAAGGAGCTGAGAGGCAAGCTGGCTATCGGCATCACAACCAACTTCATCAACAGACACACGGCTGAGGAGGCTCAAGTAGCAGAGATCAGCGGCGTGGCTCGCATTTACAACCAGAAGTTCTTCCAGGAGCTGCACACTGAGATGGGTAGGCATCCAAACAGCAGTGTCACGTACAGCATGTCGGAAGAGGACGTCTTGATATGCAGTGAAGCAGCCCTGTGCTTTTTTTCTGTGAAAAGGGAAGAAACATCAAACCAACACATTTCATACCAAAGCTTGCACTTAGAGAGCACATGAGCCATGAGGTAGAGTTTCTAATAAGAATACCAGCGCTTGTATTTTCATTGTATTGTTCTCCTGTTGTGGCTCGAAGCCTCAAGGAATGAAAGGAATGTTCGCACTGCCATGTCAGGTTCAATGTGAAGTGTGAAAAGGGTAGTGAGGCTGTTCATCTGGTTTGCAATCTTCAGCTCATTTCCTGTAACATTCAGCGTTAACCCTTATGAAAGACATTCTTCCTCCCTAACCTTCTCTTTACCTTTTTGATTTTCTGAACAGAGAAATTGTGTGTCACCTTTTAGCACTATCTGAATGGCTTTTTAATTCTCTACGACCTCCCTGTATCTCTGCCTGCTCCAGTAAATCATATTTAAGCTAGCTAATGAGGCAGAAAATGCTTTTAATGTCAGCTTTCCTGATTCCCCTACATTATCTCTCTCTAAGCCCAGCACGCTTTCTCTCCATTTCACACTCCAGGTATTGATCTGGAGAATATCGTCTACTACAAAGACGCCACCCACTACTTCGTCATGACTGCCAAGAAGCAAAGCTTGCTGAAGAAGGGAGTCATTAAACAGGTGAGAACAACACAGCCATTACCAAGAGAAAGTGAGATTCCTATTGGCTGCGGCTGCATCTCTGGGGAGTAAAAAGAAAACGAGAAACAAGCCAGATGGTGCTCCAGTTTGAAGAGACTGTCAATCATCTCCTCTTTCTCTGCAGCCTGGCCCATTAGCAGCAGCAGCAGCAAACCCAATGTAGCACATGTCACTCAGGATCAGAAAAAGGTCTCCATCAGATTACACCTCTTGCTCCGTCTCTGCAGGACTTCAGCGACGCAGTGGAGCTGCTGGCTCCCGCAAACGTGGATGAAGAGGCTTTGCGCCGCTATGCGTACGATGCCGCCTCGTTCTCCACAGGGGGTAAACTGCCTGACCTCCAGTTTGCTCCAAACCATGCGGGAAAGCCAGACGTGGCCATGTTCGACTTCACCTGCATGCAGCGTGCTGAGAATGCCTCTCAGGTCAGGGAGAAGAGGGGGAAGAAGCTGCTGATGGCTCTGGTTGGAGATTGCCTGGTGGAGGTAAATATTTAATGTGATGTGGTGCCAACTTCCCCTAGTTCACTCTTTGAGCCACACATAGCTCTAAAGATGGCGGTTGAAATGTCCACCACTTTGATCTACAGTGAAATATTTCAAAACTACAGATGAACTTGCAAAAAGTATAACATTCATGGTCCCCAGAGGACGAGTCCCTACATGCTTTTTTATGTAGCCAACAGATCAAGTATTTTTTTTATCCTGTGATATCCCACATAATTTCTAACACAAACATTCACGGTTGTAACAAATGTAGTGTTATATATTTTGGTTTTAAGTGAAATCGCTACCAGATTTGAATAGATTTCCATGAAGTTAAGATATTCATGAACCCCTCAGGATATATTTCAATAACTTTGAGGACTTTTTTGCCAAACACTCTGTTCATCGGGTCAATATTTGGATTTCCGTAAAATAATTGTTAAGCTTTGACCATTCAAACTAATTAAATTCCTGTAACACATGTTAGCATGCTAATCATAGACTGTGTATATTTCGATGGAAATTAGCTCAAAGCTAAGTCTGGCACTGTTACGCTTGACACATTTGAATGTTTTAAGTGTTCATTACTGTGCATTGTCCCTGCCAAATAAACGATTAAATGAAATATAAATGCTAATATGCTAAACTAAAATGGTGAACATTTCATTCTGATGCTACCATTTAGCTTTAGCGGCCGTAACGCGACGCAGACGGACCCGATGGAATCGAGGAAGCCTCATAAAAACCGCTGCTTACTTAGCTGTGAACTTTTTTACATAAAGCTTATGACTGTTTGAGCAGCTGTTTCATTTTCTGTAGCATGAGCTTTTAATGAGTTAAATGCTTATCATTGTAAGATTTCACTGTGTGCTACAAGGAGTTCTTATTCTCTGTTCTCTGCAGCCTTTCTGGCCTCTGGGCACAGGCATCGCTCGGGGGTTTCTAGCTTCCTTTGACACAGCGTGGATGGTGAGGAGCTGGGGCCTCGGGACCCCCCATCTCAAGGTCCTGGCTGAGCGGTGGGTCTGCTTCACAAATCTACTGAGAAGCACACACTACAGAGATTTGCATATATTAGTAGTAGTATTTGCATATATTAGTAGTAGTATTTGCATATATTAGTAGTAGTATAGTTAGGTCATATAGATGAGTAATATCATGCAAAACCCACTGAGGTTCTACTTCCTGTTTCTTCACTCCCTGACTTATTCCTCTATTCCCTAATTCACTGATATAGAGCAATTTCAAAACATGAAATTGTAGGGTCTACTATAAGTATGATATTTAGTTTCAAGGAAAACTAACATACAGTTTTAAATAGAAAGGGAATAGGTGGCCTTGAAAGTTTGGGAATATAAAGTATAAAAATCTAGCGGGCACTTTGATTAGTATTCATGTGGGTCTCCTCATCAGCACGATTCCCATCTTGAAATAATTAGTGAGATGGGTAGTTGCATTGATTGCAAAGGGTGAGGAGAATATTTCAGCGTGATTACTTGATGTAGCAAGAATGAAACACTGAGGCTGGTCTGGACAAAAGTCATATTGGCCAATTCGAACACGTAAAAGCTACCCGGTTCGCACAGACGAAAACTGTCAAGAGCCTCCCTGGTTCTTTGCATTTACATATACATGTGTCAAATAAAAGCATGTGCATGTAGATGTACTGTAATACCAACTAAATCCTTATATTCGTTATATGTTAAAGTTAATCTGAATAGTTTTGTTTCTGTTCATTTAGCATGTGTACGGTTGAGTGACCTTTAATTGCATCATCTTACCTTCCTTTTTGAGTGTTAGTTTTTGTATTACCGTTCCAATCAATGCATCTCTGTGTTCCCTTGGCTTTAAATGAATGTTTCCTCTTCTACAAACACACAGAGAAAGTATCTACCAGGTCCTGTCTCAAACCACACCAGAAAACTGCAGTAAAAACTACGTCAGTTACAGCATCGACCCCAAAACTCGGTACCTGAGGGTCAACCTCTCGTCCATCCAGGCCCACCAGGTCAGCGCTGCTATCCTCTATGTACTCAACACAGATATCAGTCAGTTTCATCTTCATGAAGCTTAGGGAGGTCAAGGATACAGGTTAAAAAAAAAACATAATCTCATAAAAGTAAAGCAATTCGAAACTATACTTTACGTTCTGATTATAATAAGACAAAAAAATGAATAAAATGTATCTATTGCATTTTAAATATGTTTGTTTGCTTTACAAATCGTGCTGTGTAAACTAGTGAAAATGTACTTTAATACGGGATAATATGGGTTTAGTCTATTGAGAAATCTAATGAGAACAATGTGTTTGTTTGTTTGTTTGTTTTGTATTTCCGAGTGGGGATTCAATATTATTCGATGACATCCATTTTATTCTACAACAGCTTATTGTTCGATCTCTTTCCTTGACATATTCATTTTTTATATTATTTATTTATTTATTATTATTTTCATTTTTTGTATGTCTGTTCTTTGTATTTATTTAAAGTGGACCTATCATGCTATATTTTAATAATATAGTGTATATTATTATATATAAGGCATATTTATACTTTTTATTTTTCAAAATACCAAACAGATCATGCATTTTAGCCATTCCTCATTTCGCTCAATTTAACACTGTCTTTGCATGGGCTGATTCTGTGAGAACAGCACCATCTACAGGCCTGGCATGTGTACTACAGCGTCTCCAGCGCTTTCCAACGGCAATGTCCGTGGCTGTCTCCTCCTGATTGGTGGAGTTGGCCCAATAGCCGTAGCGCCACTTCTGTGACATCATAGAAGTGTTCAAATCTGGATCAGTCTGTATCAGATCCGTTGCAGCCCCTTTTTAAGAGATTTGGGTATGGAGGAAAATAGAGAGGGTTGTGTTTTCTGACACTTGGTGAGTTCCCTGGAACACCGGGGACACATATTCATGTAGAAAAGACGTACAAAAGTGCATTTTGCATGATAGGTCACCTTTAAGTATTTCTTTAGGAATAAATTCATTTGTGTAACATGTTGAAATGCTTGAAAAGTAAAGTTTTAAAGCCGCCACTCACGCAGTAGAAAACTATTATAATAATACTAATGTATCTACCTGTCTCTCTCTCTTTAGGTGCAGCACCTATATATCGTTGATAAATCCAATCCAGCGAGCAAGAAACAGAAGAATAGGTTTTCCTACCTGCGTCAAGGTCAGCTCCTCTTCACCGTGCAGCCTCTCAAGGCCTCGGTTATTTAAAGATGTAACGGTGGAATCACATTGTGATCAACATCACAACAATCAAACATTCTCTTACACAATATTTACACATCACACAAAGAGGTTTTCGTGGGTGTGAAAGCCTCCCCCCTGTGGTCGCACGCTCTGATGAATTGCCTTTGCTTTCCCCACAGATTCTGTCAGTGGTTTTGAGGAGTTGTTGAAATGGTGCCAGAAAAACACAGTGGGTTATAAGAATGTGGCTGTAAAAGATTTCACACAATCCTGGAGGTCCGGGATGGCTCTGTGCGCTCTGATCCACCACTTCGGACCCCAGCTCATGTGAGCATTTACTTTTCTTCATGTGATTGTTGGATTCTTTATATCAGTTCATTTGTTTAGTTTTGTAAACATGACCCAGTCCTTTGAGACAAATCCCACTCAGTCTCACTAAGCGGCTACTCTGGGACATACTGTAAGAATCACATTGGGGCAGACATATCCTTTATTTGAAATGCTGTTGTTTATGTTGTTGCATATCCCATATAGCCTTTTCACAAACTAATTGGTGCAAAAAAGCACCAAATATGTGACCCGCTCTATCGAAGTCAGTCGGAAGTCGCAACGGCTCATTTCAAAATAAACGTGGATTTGCGTAAAAAAATAGTTTTTCGGGGTTCGGGTGTTTTGTTTGATTTTAAACAAACAAAGTCTTGTCTTTCAGAATGAGAAACTTTTATTTCCAAACTCACACGATAAATACATTCTTTAAACTTGTAAAGGGAAGA